ATGCGAGAATTGAACATAAGAACGTTTCTGCTGAGACTGAGCTGAGAAATGTGATGATATGGTGAATGTAACAGACTAAACAAAATGAACTAAATAAAACTTCTAGTTTCTGCCCGTTTTACTGCCTTCCCCATTTTAAATACCCTTCATACCTCCACTGTTTCTGTTAAAATTCCAAGTATAACAAATACCTAAATAGGTAACTTACTCATTTAGTGATTTATTCCTCTGTCCAAACATAGGTGTGTATTATGAAGTGAGATGCCTTCAGGGACCTCAGTCACCGGCTGCTAAGCCAGAAAGGCACAGACCTCCTAGAGATACTTCTTAGTATCCATCAGCCCCTTGTGGTGTCTCAGATATCTCAGTGCATCCCAAGTAACACACATGCCTATCTTTAGGCCTGTGTACATGCCTATATAGACAATAAGTAAGGGCCTAAAGGCTTGAATTCATTTCACCTAATCTTAGCTGCCTTTAGAAGCAAGGTTTCTGGTGAAAGCTAGCCACTACTAGCCAATTGGCTCCTTATACAGCTCATTAAGATAGACAAGCATGTCCAGAGAAAGTCTTAGAGCAGATGAAATAAACTGTTCAGTGAGAAAGACAAAAGCCCAGAGAAACAGCTTAGTTCAGTAAGCTTGTCTGGTAAGACTAATCTTACCTCTGGACTTCATATCCACTGAAGAGTTATCCATTGCAGACCAGTAATGGGCCAGAAAATTTAACACAGAGAAAATGAAACATTTTGAAATGCAACTTGGAATTTGCTTTCACGCTTATGACTACTTACTACCAGATTAGCAGTCCAAGTCTAAAATTTTTGTAATCTTTGTCAAATTCCAATACTCCCTTGTATTATAGTCTTGATTTATATACCAGAACCCCACATCAAAATATTTTCCCTTCCTCCTGCAGCTAAACCCGTATCAGGTGTATTTCCAGATGCTGAACAGTGCAGGTATCTGTCAGTAAAGAGTTAGCCAAAATTATGGTTCTGTGTCATTCAGATCCAATACCTAGTTACACTGCATTTTGAATTGTGTGCTTTTAGACATCTGTGTGCGCAGCAGAACTGTGGAACATCACATGCACCTGACAAAAGGGGTAAACCCCACATGCTGTTACATAAGAAAGGTAGCATCATACCAATGCAAGACAAAACAGCCTTGCCAAGCTGGTGTCAGATCATCCCACATATAATGGAACAGAAATTACTTAACTGTCTACAAAACTGGACGTATTTAAATAGAAAAGTATGAGGCTTTGCAGCCAAGAATAACTGGAGAATAAAAAAAATTGCCGAAATCAAGTAATATTTTGACAGTCCATTGACTAATTTTTCAAGGACCTAAGAACTTTTGATTACCCCTGGCAGTCTGCCTATTAATTTCTTTGCCTGCTTTGGGTCTACTAACTTAGAGCCTATTTGTCATCATTAGAAATATCTCAGATTACAAATTCATACATAAAGCTTGGTAGTCACTGCTAAGAACTTTATGCTTTAGGGCAGTATGGCTTCATCAATATAAAAATATCTTCCTTCCAATTTTTTCTCACAGGCTTAAACTGTAATAAATGAAATTCAGAAGATATTCAGCAATATTTGTAGGGTTCTTCTGCAGCACTTTTGACTGAAACAACAGAGGCAGAGAATGGGGAATATCATACATTGGCCAGTCTTTTAACAGCAAGACTTGAGATTTTTTTAACCCCTGTGCATGAAAATGCAGTATACATATTAGCTTGCCAAAAATGCAGATGACACTTCTGTCATAGCTAGAGACTACAGAGGAGTTAATAAAGACAATTCCTACAAATATTTAATTCCCTGACTAATTTCTTTCCCTCCATTTATACCTATCCAATTCCTGGACCCCTGATAAAGCTGCTGGGACATTTCCAGACAAGCTGCTTTTAATTGTTCCCAGCTGACGGCACTCCTGTTTGTCTTAAACTCTCCCAGCTGATTAATGCAGTGGCCATATTTATTCTGAGCTATAGCTGGTCACGATTTGTTTTGGCAGATGACATATTATCCCTTCATGGACATGCAAAACAACATTAACTTCTCTTCTGCTGCAATCTTCTTTCTCTGGCTACTTCTAATACACCATTTTGCTAGTCATTATATTCTCTACAGAATTGTCTACAGTGGCAGCTTGGTATTCCTAAATATTTAAAAGGACCAGGGAGGAAAATTTAGTGACACAACAATACTACACCAGGTAGCAAATGAGGTTCATTACCCATGAGGTTTGATCCTCTGGACAGTGAGCCGTGTTAGAGCTGGAATAGAGAATGTCATCCTTGACCAAAACAGAGATTGCTCTTAGAATGAAAGAGAGGAACAGGTTCAGATGGATGTAGTTCCGAGTACAATGAAGTTTTCTAAGAAGAGATTTAAAAAAGGCGTTTTAGCTTTTGAGACGGACAGCTCTTGAACAGACTTTTATCACTCTCTGGTTGTTTCTTAGAATATGAACCTTGAGTAAGAGCCTACCCTTTCCCCTTTCCTCCTCTCATACTGTCAGTGCTGCCTTGCTGTTTTATCATCATCATCATCATCATCATCATTATTACAGGCTGTCCAAAATATACAAATAAAGTACCTCTTACTCCTTTCCAGTATCACAGACCAAAAGATCCCAGTGGTATATCTCCCACACTTTAAAATAAGCTGACAATAAACATTGATTATTATCTCTTCCTGTGTGTGCATTCATCCCAGTGTTTTTATTGCAAATAAAACTTTGATTATCCTGTATATATTTCAGACATGCTTTCACCTATTTTTTTTGATTAATTTTTTATTTAACTAACTCCTGCATTTTTCTATATAATGGCTTTTCATCCTATGATGTGGGTGTATGCAGGAACAATTAAAAAATGCATTAAAACATTATATTGCCTATCCTTTCTATCCAGTGAGATGTAAAACTTCTCTTCTTTAGTCCAGCAGCCACGTGAAACCCTGACAAACAAATGACAAATTAAATGTACCAAGTAAGTGAATGAGTGCTCAGGGGAAGCAAGTCTTAAGTTGAGGCCTTTTCACTTAAAAGACATTCCCTTCAAGATCTTTCCATTTAACAATTTTTTTTTTATAGCAAAGCCCCAGAAACTAAACTGCTAAGAGGGTTTTTTGGTCAAAACCAGCACCTTGAACTGCACCTGGAAATAAGCCAGAAACCAGGGCATTTTAGCAAGTATGAGCAATGAAAGAATGAAGATGCGATAGGATGCTATGGTGGTGTGCAGTGGCAGCTTCCAAGTAGTTTTCACTTTCTGATTTTTACTGAAGAATACTAAATAATCCATTCTGAAACTACTAAAGCAAGGATAGTTACAGTGAGTGTATGGAAATAAATAACAGATCCATCTTGCTAGCCCCCAGTTTGGCAAAGGACATAAGACCAGGCTGAACGGTTGTCAAAAATCCAGTGATTTCTGTGGCTATGCTGAAACAGGTTCTGATAAAACCTAAAATACCACTATTACATTGGACTGCATCATAAGTTCCTGTGGAATTCAGAGATACATGCAAGCTGCAAATGGGAGGAAAGTATTTTTCTTGAGTAACTAATTTAGATGATTAGTTCTTCATCCCATTAAGTAGCTGAAATAATAAATGTTGGATATATACAAGGCCGTCAAACCAACATTTTGGAAGTAGTGGGCAAGTTGTTTAGGATGTGTATGATGATTCAGAATAACAGAAATGCCATTCTTTCTTTAACAATTAAACAAAAGCTATCATGCTTACTCCTTTGATATGACTATCTCATGATACTAAACTACCATGTGATGAACATTTACAGACAGCTGATGCCCATGAGACCATATCATAGAAATGACAGAGATTCACCACCTTCTGCTTGGTAAGAAACACATATCAGAGAAATTGACATTTTTGGAAGGTTTTGTTATATAGGATTAACCCCAAAGGAAGTATAGTAACATCTATAGTAAGATCTAGAATGTCAGTGTTAGGTAGAATACGCTATTCTACAATTTATTTTCACTCTAAGTTGGAACAAATCAACCTTTTTAAAATATCTGAAAAATACTATTTATTTTCAATCATTTTGATTTCCACTTTTCTAAAACTTTGATATATTAAAACCTAGACATTCAAAATGAAGAAATAGAAACTTGCCTTCTAAGAAGGGTAAAGCAACTTCTTTTGACTAAATCAGAACTATGAGCTTTACTGTTTATAAGTTAAGTTTGCAGAAGCAAGAATGTGCCTGACAAATTGGCAACCTCCAATAGGAAAATATCGTGTTGGAAAGTTACCAATTAGCTTTAATTATAAGTACATAGAGTGTTATCTGGGGAGTGGCACCATAGTAACTTGAAAAATGCTGTCAGCTTAGTCTGGCAAGGTATTTGCAGATATTCACATTTTATGTCTTTGAGATTAAAAGATTAGCCAGATATAAAATCCTTTCCTTTTACAATACTTCTAAATGTGTCCTTTACAGATATTAATAACCCATATAATGTTTCTGTAAAGATTAAAATCAAATCCAGTTCTTTGGAAGAAATACAAAACAGAACATTGCAACTTCATGCAAACTTTCAGGCACAACTCTCCTTTCCCCACCCAACAGTTCTGCCTTTCAATGTGCTTATAGCTGATAGTGTGAACAACTACAAAGCCCTGAGGCTCTATCTGTTCTGTCAGACAGTACATAACAATATATAATGGATTGCAGAAGTCAAGTTGTAATACTTAAAAAAGAATTTCCACTTCCTTGTCATGAACACGTTACCTACAATTAAATTAAACTCCACTTTTTTTTATGTTTTCTTTCATTAAAAATACTGTACATATTCAGGATTAAATGCAGTATAATTTGAAGGATAGATGTTCAAATCCAGCAACGCGTAATTTTAATAATCTCTTGTGTTACTAATATTCCAGAGTTCAAATCCTAATCCTGCTGGACGAAGTCAGGATTTTGACAACCATACTGCATTAGTAACTTCTGATTTTTAACTCACTACTTAACTACCAACTGTCCTTTAGATAGTTTCACTTAGAAGAGCTGTTCTTTGCTCATCTTTTTAAACACAGCAAGGTGAAAGTTTGCTGGTTACATTCTAAGGTGAATATGTTTCAGGGGTGAATGACTGATCTTTATAAGCAGTATATTGACATTGTCTATAAAGAACCCTGGGACCTTTCAGGGCAAAGTATGTTTCTTGGATAGGAGGTGTTACCAGCTGAGTAGCGAAAAGATAAAAATTACAGAAACATACTTATTTTCCAAACTCTGTCCTTAAAAAGGACCATAATGATTGCGATGCCCTAGAACACTTCTGAGAGACAGACATCCACACATAGCCATTTGCATTCACTTCTACTATTGGTAATTTACAATTGCTTCAGCTGCAGCCTCCCATAATAACTGGTTGCTTGCTATGTGCCTGGGAAATGATATACTGAACAGGGTATTTTTACAATTTATTTGGGTTTCTAATTCAACTTACTATGTTAGGAGGCCCCTACACTCCCTGTAGATAACAGAGAAATGGGCTTCTTTAGGGGCAGACTTAGAAGAGCCTATGTTCCTTCCTAAAAAAAAAGCCTGGGTCTTTTCACTGACTCAACAGAGAGATCAGGGAGTTCTCAACTTGGATCTATAAACTGAAGTTGAAGATTTTGAGTACAACTCTGAAATTTTGATCTGTTTGTTATAACTGACTTCTGGGGAAGGACAACATTCAGATGTCTATAACACACTCTCTTAAATGAGTTATTCAGTTTTAGCAGTTTTGAAAATGCACAATCTGCCTGTAGCATTTGCTGGTAGAAGGAAGATAACCATGAGTGACTCTATTCATTTTTTGCAAAGATATTCCAAAAATACAGTTATGGGTTATGCACCTGTTCTGAATAGTCTATGAATATTTAAATATCGAGAAAATTTGATGTCAGACTGAAAGATTTACAGAATTCACCATAGGAATAGTTTATCAGAGGAATGAGGCTCTGACAAACAACATTTTGTCCTCTACATATTATGTGTACTTCTTTTCTACCAAATTTTCTTGTTTTTCTTGGTGCGGAGTGGAATGGAAAAGTTATGTGAAGTTTATAATGGAGAATATAAAGGCTATTCTATTAGACAGGTAGAAGTGATATATAAAGGCACGTAGGTGGAGAGACTGAGAAAAGCTATGATACTGATAATACCATTTTGCGATTTCTTTTACCTGTGGGAGATTCTTTCAGTCTCAGAAAACTCCCAGAAATTAGGCAAAACCAACAGACAGTACTGCCTTTCCTAACACTGCATAACAAAAACATTGCAAACCCAGCACTATCCTTCAGCACAACTATTCATACCTTTACAACCCCACTTGGACAAATTGATGATTACCTTTGATTACAGTACCCCCGGAGACCACTCAGAAGCTTCTGCAAAATATGGCTGCCCACTTGTCCAGTGTTGGGACCAGCATAATTTTCAAGAGCAGTTCAAGGTGTCAATTTTAGCAATCAAATAGAAAATGTTTTATATAATCCATTCCTAAATGACTATTTTTTCTTACATGGGCTGTGAATTCGTCAAGTGCTTTGAAATTTTTTAATATGACTAGTGCTAGCAAAAATCAAGTTAGCATTACATTATTGTCAGCTCTTTAACAGAGAAAAGTGTAAAACCTGTGCATTTTCTAAATACCTGAGCACCGATGCATTTTCTAAATGCCTGAGCAATCAGACAACACTTAAAACCGTCTTATCATTGTTTATATTTACTCATGAAAAATACATACCTGAAAAGGCAAAGAATTATACTTCCTGTTGTAAGAGCAATCAGAGATACACTGTGTCCAAGGGTATAAATTGCCTTCACCCTTACATAGAAGTTGACCTGCACAGAAAAATATATATGGAGAAACCACTTACTGATATGTAAAATTAACTGTGAAATTATATAATTTTCCATTAAATAGCTCTGAAAGCTAAATAAATACCATTATTTTCACTCTTTGCTCTACAGTACATGATGAGAATGTTCTACCTTTATTCCAACATATTCTTGCAATGCCAACATCTCAAGCCAATTGACCTCAGTAGAAAATTCAGCATCAGGAACTCAAAACTTACTTAGACACACAAGCTAGTATAATTTCAATTGATTATTCCATGTCAATGAGGTCAAAGAAAATATCAGATTCATCAACTTCCATAAACACAATTAAGCTGGGAAGAGTGAGCCACAGTTTGAAAGACTGGATTATCTCTGAAAGACAGAATCTCTCTCAGTCCTTCCTCTCTGGTGTCCTTCATAATGCATTTATACATGAGTTTAATTTTAAAGACACATTTAAGTCTGATTAATTTCCCAATCTAAATGTTCAAATACTTTATTAAATCATGACCCAAACAACCCTTTCTCTCTTTAGTAAAGTTATTTGCTAAAACTTGGAAAGAAAATTTTTCAACAGAGGAAAAGCAGACTGAAGTGTGCACAGTCCGCTGATTAACTGCAGTTATCTGTAAATTTACCAGCTACATATTGCATTAAATCCTACTCTGAATGACATCAAGAAAAATAATGCTAAATACTCTCAGAATTAAGCTGCTTCTTCATTTATGCCTACAACAAAGTCATTAAACGGACATTATTTTCCACTGAAGCTAGATAAAATATTAAAATTATAGTTTTTTACTGTTATGAAACCAAAGGTTTTAATAGCAGTGTAGAACATGCTACGTATAACAGACAGAATTTCAATATTTAGTGCACACGGTTATATCACACCTTCTTGAACGATATTTGAAAAAAGTAACATGAAGTGATACTTTTAAATAAACTAAGAAGCAAAAGGAAAAGAAAATAACTTTATATATTTATTTTATAGCATTTAAAAGGTCAAGTAAAGACGTAACTTTAGCAATCTCAATTCATGATGAAATTAGCTAGACATTCACTTAGCAAATATTATACAGATACGGAAAAGACTAAATAGAATGTTAAATGAAGAATGTTGAAACTGCACTATTGTAGACATGGTTAAAGGGGAAAATAAGGGCAACACAACTGCCATAGATCTTAAGTGTTTTCATAGCAAGTATCATGTTTGTTAGGAGCTAGAAGTGGTATACGAAGTGTCACAGGAAACAGAAATCTCTTTTTTTAATTAGAGAATGTCCTGGTTTCAGCTGAGAGAGAGTTAATTTTCTTCACAGTAGCTACTATGGGGCTGCGTTTTGGATTTGTGCTGGAAACAGCATTGATAAGGCAGAGATGTTTTTGTTATAGAGACATGTTTTTGTTGTTGCTGAGCAGTGCTTACACAGAGCCAAGGCCTTTTCTGCTTCTCACCCCACCCCACCGGTGGGTGGCTGGGGGTGCACAAGGAGTTGGGAGGGGACACAGCTGGGACAGCTGGCCCCAACTACCCAAGGGGATATCCCATACCATATGATGTCATGCTCAGTTTATAAGGGGTTTGGGGAAGAAAAAGGGGGGTGGCATTCGGAGTGATGACATTTCTTTTCCCAAGTCGTTGTTATGCGTGATGGAGCCCTGCTGTCCTGGAGATGGCTGAACACCTGCCTGCCATGGGACGTGGGGAATGAATTCCTGGGTTTGCTTTGCTTGCACATGTGGCTTTTGCTTTACCTATTAAACTGTCTTTATCTCAGCCCACGAGTTTTCTCACTTTCAGTCTTCCAATTCTCTCCCCCATCCCACCATGGGGGGAGTGAGCGAGCGGCTGCGTGGGGCTCAGCTGTTGGCTGGGGTAAAACCATGACAAAAAGTAAGCTGTGATGGCCTTTTTGACAACAGTCCTGACATTTTAATGTTTTGTTTGCTTTCCATAATATTAATTTACTGCAGAGATGAAGAAAAATATGGACTTCATGAACTTTCCAGTGCCATTAGAATGACCATAAGAAAGTTCCTCAGTTAAAATTCTGAACAAATATTGTTGGGTTTTCTTTTTTATTTTTTTTTAATTGGTGTCCCTGAGTGGTTAAAATAGTAAAACCTAAAATATTACTTTATTGCTTGCTATAGAGTCTGTGGTATATTTGCAGAGCCCCACTGCATTCCTAGGGACTCTCTGTGGGCATAAATCGTAGGCTCTATTTCACCTGGCATTAGGTGTCTACACGGCAAATATAAACATCTAAGACAATGTAGGGTCCTTTACACTTCTACACTTCTTGTATGTATGCAAGCAGTCAAGATGGACTTCATTGGATATATTTCTACAGACAATGAAGAGGCCCCACAATGACTAATTCAAATGCAGCTACCCAGCGTGTACAAATGCTTGTTGCACTTAGATGGATGCTCCAAAAAGATCCTGGTTTTCCACATGAATCTTGTGTTTGCTAAATAGGACTCTAAGTAGTCCAATGTTTCTTGAACAATGTTTCTAAAATCGTTTTCAAATACAATTTTTTTTTCAAAATTAACATAATTTCAGACAAAATCATTTCTGAAGAACTACCCTTCAATTCCCTGCTAGAATGGCAGAATTATACTCCCCAGTTCAGCTCATTTTTGGACAGCTCTAAAAACTATGCCTACAGACAAGCACTGTAGACCACCCCTATCCTTCTTTAATTTGGCTTCTGTCATAGCAAAAGGAACATCAGCCAGTTTCCAGGCATTTTTCTGGGAATAGAGTGATAAACAGTTTCTCAGCAGCAATTACAACAACCCATGGCACCGGGAACACTGCAAATACTTTGAGCACCTTCCTTCATTTATTCAAGCTGACCTGCTCTGCAAAATTACAGAAAAAGGATGATCCGATAAATGACTTAACTATTTGGCAACATCATGTCCCCATCAACAGTTTTTGAAAGAAAAAAGAAAAGGAATTTTATTTCCTGACCTTGTGCACCTCAGGAGTTGAAAATATAGTGTAAAGCTTAGAAATGATGCACAGCAGTTCCACAATATGCTCTATTTGTTATCATCTGTTGGCATTTGCAGACCCCATTTCTACTGAGTACGTTTCTACCGAGTGTACAAATAGAAGCCTGAATGGTCTCTAAATCAAAAATTCTTAAGATCTACCATGTAAATATTGTAAATTCAAGGGAGATAAATGTCATTTGCAAAAGAAGTTGCAATGGCAATAAATCTGTGCTGTTTAAATACCAAGTGGAAGATTTCTTGTTCACTTTCATGGAAAAAATTGATTGGCAGAGACACACTTTTAATTCTAACAGTGATGTTCAACATCCCATTACTGCAGAGCAGAGACAGGGGTCTCCTCAGGTATCCCAACGCCATGCACACAACAGCCGGTAAGAGTAGCTTAACAAATCCTAACATGTTAAAGTAACCATTGGCCTCCTGTAATTCGTCTTTGTTAATAACCTTCAAAAGGAAAGCAATTAAACAAGGACTTCTGATGTAAATTGTGTCCTGGCCCTTCACAGTGCCCAGCAGAAATTACTTCTTCCCTCCTGTTCAGGTTTCTCATTGTGATAGAAAATCTAAAAGCAGTTGTAAGGTCCCTTTCTTCTGCTGAGCAGCCACATTGTGCTACGAGTTAGTTATAAGATCTGCTCCAAAGACAGTCTTAGGTTTGCCTAAGGAGCAGAAATAACTCTGAGACAAGAAATGGGTGTTTCACACATGCCAACTCATGCATTTGCTGTTAAACAGATGACTAAACTGACACAACTGCATACTTTTCTGTAAGTACCACGGTCTCTAGACTCCAGACTTAAGATTAGTTCCCTCTAGCTGGACATTAAACTTTCTCTGGTCATCTCCTTGCTTCATTCAAAAACTCTCTTGTGCTGACATTCTCACTGCTGACATTTGGGTTAGGCCTTTGTACTGGGTTTGGCTGGAATAGAGTTGATTTTCTTCATAGCAGGTCATAGGATTTATGCTGAAAACAATGTTGATAACACAGGTATGTGTTAGAAAAAAAAAGCAGTGCTTATACAGAGTCAAGACCTCCTCCGCTTTTCATGCTGCCCCACCAGCGAGTAGGCTGGGGGTGCACAAGGAGTTGGGAGGGGACACAGTTGGGAAAGCTGACCAAAACTGACAAAAGGGATATTCCATACCATATGACGTCATGCTCACTGCATAAAGCTGGGGGAAGGAGGAAGAAGGGGGACATTGGGAGTCATGGCATTTGTTTTCCCAAGTCACCGTTATATGTGATGGAGCCCTGCTTTCCTGGAGATGGCTGAACACCCACCTGCTGATGGGAACTGGTGAATTAATTCCTTGTTTTACTTTGCTTGTGCACAGCTTTTGCTTTACGTATTAAACTGGTTTTATCTCAACCCATGAGTTTTCTCATTTTTACCCTTCTGATTCTCTCCCCCATCCCTGTTGGGGGGGGGAGTGAGTGAGCGGCTGTGCGGGACTGAGCTGCTGGCTGGGGTTAAGCCACAACAGACTTGAACCCCTTTTTCTGCAGATCTTGTAAAGAACTCTGCACACATATGATACACTGGAATTATGATGAAGCTGACAGTACTAGAAATATTGTTATTTTCTTGCAGTGATCTTTAAAAAGATTTGAATTAATAAAATACATTTAGCTTACAATAAAGATATTAGCAATTTTGATTATATAATTCTATTGCTAGTGACTAGTTATCCCATATTTAGATGAGAGATCAAAGAGTCTGGCAACTATAAGAAGTAATTTCAACTTGCACATTTCCTTTCAACAATAGAAAGTAGCTATTCTTGAACATGTTTGACATTTTTGAGAACTCATTACTCAAGTCCTTGGCTTCTACCTGACAGTGAATATAACATTAGTTTCTGAAAAATGAGTCATAACATCCTCTACTATTAATTCATCCAAAGGATTTCTGTATCTACTGCAGGGAGTGGATTTCAAAGACCATACTCTGGGTATATGTCCT